AAACCGCAATTTTATATTTTTCTACTTCCTCTTTTTAAGGCCTGAATTCCTTGAGTTATCCTTGACAATTTGCCTTTATTCCTAACATTACATAGTTCTCTCCTAAATTTTTTTTTCTGGATATCAAAAGAAACAAAAACAGAATCTCTTTCTTGGGAAAAAATTTACTTCTGCCCCTCTTTAAGAAAGCTTTTATGATGGACATGACGATTTTGAGCTTCCTGTGTTTAAAAAAAAGGATCCATAGGGTTCTTTTGCCTCCGAATGGGACAAGTCAATCAATGTTTCCCGCTGATCCATAGTGCTGAAAAATCTCATCATTTTCGGCAATTGATTGTGTTTTAGTTTTGCTGAGCATTTCAGACCCTAATTTTTTCAAGAATGGTCATTTTCAGTATTATTGGCTCTAAAAACAGTTATATCTAAACCAAACCCTTTTTTCAATTTTTGAAGAAAAATTTGTAAAATTCAGGAGAACAAACGTGTCAGTCTGAAACAATCTCGACAGGTAGTTTTCCAGTGACGTCAAATTTCTTACCAGCCCTCCACGGTCATGTCAAAATTGAGAACACCGCTGACACTGAGAAACGAATGACGATTCTCTGAGAAGTCGCCATTACATTTCTAATTATCATTTCAATTACATCACACCCAACTATTTCATCTTTTATCTTTGATTTGGTCTAAAGTAAAAACAGTTTTCACTTGCCAAAAAAATATATAATGGTAATAATAATTAACCAAAAAGAAATAGGCTGCAATTTGCTGATTATTATTAAAGCAAAATAATTCTGATTCAACTCAATTACAATTATAGTCTCGTACCCAGACCTTTCACGGCCAAACAATTGTAAGGTCCTACATTTCAGTTACAACTACGCGGTAGGATCCTACTTTGCAAAATACCCTGAAACTTTACTTAAAAAATAGAATAGATGGATAAATGAATTGAGGAACGGATACGTAAGCAGTATTTTCCCAACATGAATAATATTTCAAGGACATTTTACCACCGAAATTGAATCATCCCTTGTAGAACTGATGTTTTTATCTATTTTTTCCTTATAGTACCGAAACCAAGATTTACTGGTACCCAGTTCGCAAAATTATTCATTATAACATTTACGATTGTTGTCCGGGATGGATTGGATACGAACCCAAAGTGGGATGCAAGGAGCGTAAGTACCTTAGCTTTTTCCGAAAAAAAATTATACATATGCACTTGATTGGGGTCATTAATGTAATCTTATGCTAATTAATAATTAATTAGGTCATTAGATTTAGTTACTCTCTCTTCTTTTCACCTCTTGCCGGAGAATTCTCGATGTTCCACTTTATGAGTCCTTCAGATAAAAAAAAATAAGGTATTCTAGAAAAATCTGAGTCTACCCAAGAGCACATGAGCTCATGTTCTGCTAGTCCCTTTGAAGAGGGTGGGCTGAGGACTAAGAATTTATTCCTTTGTCTCACTCTCCTGATACAGGAAAAAAAACCAGCTCACTTTAAATAAAGATTTTATACTTGCCCAATTTTTTTTTTGTTTTGCTTTCCCAGGTGTCCCTTGTGGTGTCGCTATCCCCCAAAAGGTTCCACTCCACTGCCACGAGAGCAGAGGAAAAGACATTGAAAAACACCGAGGACTCTACAAACTGGGCCACGTGAAAAACTTTCCATTCCCCATGAGTGACATTAATGCATATCTCTTGATAAATCTTACACTATCGGACCCCTTCACAGAAACGTGGATGAAGCTATATGGTTACATGTTGAAGAAAAATCTAGCGCTCATCCAGAATTTTAGGAAAACGAATAAAGAAGAATTCACCAAGATCTCTGACTATGAACAAATTTATCACTTCTTTCTCAAGCAACAACAAAGTGAAGAAATGGTAAGAGAGAAATCTCCAAAACTTAAGTGTAAAACTATGCAACACTTTTAATTACTTTCATAGAAATCAAGGTTTTTTTCTCGCCACTATTCGTAGACTTATCAACCTTGTGGCAATCAAGTCCATCTCTTTGCATCAAGAATAATTTTTGTGGGTCATTTTTCTTCAGGTTCGCCCGTTTTTCCGATTTCCCTCTCAAGAGGAACTTTTTAAAAGCGTCGTCAACAATGTCACGTGGCGACAAGACCGTGTGTTTACTGAACAGCGGTTAGCCGGCCTCAATCCTATGTCACTTATGAAAGTTACCGCTGGTCAAGGTAAGTACAGCTCCAAGGCTCCGCAATGACAAACAATTACTTATGAAAGACGTGAATGTGTCAATAGTTGTTTTATATTAACGTTTGTTGAATCTCTCTCAGATCCCATTGGAGTCAAATGGTCTGATCTTGAAAAACGTTTGAATCCAAACTACGACTGGGATGCCGCGCTCTCGAGAAGCCTGGAAACAAACACCTTAATACAAGACACAATCGCCGATGGATCTTTATTTGTTGTGCAGTACCCGGCCTTTGACAACCTCTCTACCGTGCCAGACATCACAGAGCCCAGTCCCACGCGGAAAATGTGGCCCGCAATGTCTCCCATAGCATTGTTTGTCTCGCGTCCAGGGGGGAAAGGTAGACCTGCACAGTTGCAACCAGTGGCTATCCAGGTTGATTCTACATCAGGTAAGTACGAGGACAATCTTTCTCTCCTCGTGCCGTCCCTTCGCATTCTGTTTCTCCCGGTATCCTGTTTCCGAAGTTTTTCCAACCCCAATTCAAAAATCTAACTCGGAATAACAGATCTCCTATTTCATTCCTTGCACAGGCTCACCAGTCTATTCTCCTGAAGATGGTGACCTGTGGGCTCTTGCCAAAGCGGGCTTTCAAGTCACAGATTTTGCTTATGTGGAGATGGTGGAACATTTACTAAAAACCCACCTCATGATGGAGCCATTTTGTGTGTGCATACTGAGATACCTATCAACACTGCACCCCTTGCACCAGCTACTGAAATATCACTGTAGGTAGGGAAGATCTTAAAAGCTCATGGGTGGCTGGAGTCACACCCAGGCCAACTCGATCAGCCTTAAGTGTTTTACTTCACTTTACCTGGCTTATCAGGTGTTTTAATTGTTGCGAGCCCAGGTTGGACGACATGATGCCACATTCCAACATCTTATATATATTATTGTGTAATCAGCGACTTGGTGTAGAATAATACCGCTCAATAAAAGGTAAAAGTGAATATCAATATAATTTATACGATTATTATTAATTTCTGTTTGTAATTATTTCTTTGTTCTACTGTAGAGGCTTATTACCCACTAACAAAGTGGGATTTCCTAAACTAGTTGACGATCAAGCATACATGCATCAGTTGTTTGCTATTGGTAATACTGGTTCTGTAACCCTATTGGTGCGTGCATTTCAGACCTTGACTTGGGCCGATACTGACTTCCGAGCCAAGAATAAGGTATGACGTAACTTCAAATTACACTTTTGACCAACCTCGTTCCCAGGTGCCTCTCTCTTCCTTCCTCGTGGGATGAAAAGAAAGGACTCTGGGAACGAGGTTGCATAAAGACATAAGAAGATTCGGTGACTCATATCACCTTCACATTCTAAAAACATTTTGCAAGAGGAACGAAATTGTGCTCGAACTTTCAACGAGCAATTATTTAAACTTGTGACTGCCTTAACGAGTTTATTCCAGTGTTGCGCATATACTTCATAGAAATTTCTCTTTTTTCCTTTTTCTTACTATCAGGCCCGTGGCATCGATGACCGAAAAAAATTGCCATATTTCCCATACAGAGACGACGGAGAATTGATTTATAAAGCTATGGAAGATCTAGTCAAGGACTACGTCAATTTGTGAGTAGAAGCCAACCAGTTTTGTTATGAGACAAAGCCGGCAAGATGGTCATTTTGGCTAGTAAGCTGACTTTACTTTCAACTTAGGGATGTTGCTTAGAAATGGAATGCTCATACTGTAAATAAATGGTCGATTCTTGGTTGCTTGATCGACTGTCCAGTTAATGAAAAGTCTTATCTCGCGCATGTCATTGTATCGTAGTTATTACCACGCTGACAGCGATGTACTGAAGGATCACGAAGTTCAAGGTCTCGCCAACGAGATGTCATCTGAGGGAGTGGGGAAAGACGGCGGTAAAGGAAAGGTAGCTTAACTCCTCCGAGCGTGTTTAGACTGAATAAAATCAAAAGCGAATCAATCACAAAGGCCTTTCGGGAAAAAAATTAATATATGACATGGTGCTAAGGAGAAACCAAAATGAAAAACACCAACAAACTGCCTGAAGGCGAGAAAACGCGGGTTGTCAAAGTGCGATTTGTTAACTAGGGCATTTCATTGGTAGAGGATTGCACGATTTTTGGCAGACCAATCAGAGCGCAAAGTAAAACAAAACCAATGCAATTCCGGATTACTTTCGCTATTCGCTTGATTATTACTTTCTAATTGTTCTTGAATTCTTCAGCTTCGCGGTTTTCCAGCTCAGATAGCCACCAAAGCACTACTGGTCGACATTGTTACGCGCCTCATCTGGACCTCAACCGCTCAACATACTGCTGTCAATTATCCAATCTCGGCGTACGGAGCATTCACGCCAAACATGCCCACGAAGATGTACGACGACGAACGAGTGCCCGATGACAAATTTAATGCTTTACGATTGCCGAATAGTTATGTTTCAGCAGTGAGTAAAGAAAATTATACATTATCTTGGTTTGAATTGCACTCTTTCCAAAAATTTTTTTTAAAAAATCCTTTTGTTTTTATGTCTTTGACAGGTTCAAGCCGGAGTTGCAATGAGCTTGGGTTCTCTTCGTATCGACCGCCTGTTCGACTACGGAGGCAAACTCCCGGAGCAAGGAGGCAGAGTAATTGTCCAAAAACACTACAACCGACTTCACTCCGCGGTCAAACCCCTCCTGGACAAGAGAAATAAAGAACGATTTCGAGAGGGATACCTCACATATCCTTATCTGAGTCCAGCATGGATACCAAACAGCATTTGCACTTAAATCAAATTAATATTTCCCAAAAGATTTATTTATTTCGAATTCCTATGGGGATTTACGTGTGTGGTACATAAGAAATTTGACATCGATCCCCGAAACCATGCTTTGAACAAGTGTCCAGGATTTGAAAAGAAAATTATTTTGTTTGCTGGTAGATGAACCTATGCAATTTTACATTTGTCGGGAGCAAAATTAACCCAGACTGTGATGTGAGAGAATCTGTTGCAGTTGGAAAGAGCTACATAACAATGCCTCGGTTGTTTCAAATATAATTTACCGGGAAAGACAAACACGAAGGGCTTAGAATGAACCCAAAATAAGATATTGAAACAGAATCCGTAGAGAAGAAAATTAAATCTTCAGACAAAATATTCCAGTTTAAATGATAGTAGATGGAAGTTCTCTCCTAAGAATTACAAAACGTCTCAATAGCTCAGAGATTTCGTAATTCTTAGATGATATTCAAGGGAATCATCTCCTAAGAATCGCCTTGCACATTCACAGGGGCATTTTTCAAAGCATGGTTCTTGGTTCCTCTCTTTCCTTTCCAGTAAACTTCAACAATTCCTATATTGACATGCACGGTGAAATTAAGTATCGTCAGAGGTTTACTTTCAAACGATTTATGAATGTTATTCAAACTCAATAAGGAATTAGCTGTATCTGAAACTATACAAAGTGTGTTTTCCTCGGGATTTCTTAAATTAACAGGCTCTAAACTTCAAGGCCCAACTGTATGAAGGTCTGATAACATTATCCAACGGATAAATCACTATCCAGCAGATAAGTGTGGCAAAATATACTGCACTATTCACCAGATAAAATTTATTCAGTGGATAGCGTTATCCAACCTTTGAACAACTGGAGCCAAGATACAATTTGTTAGGGGGACAAAGTGTACTCAAAATCTACTAATACTTGTTTACGTTGTCTTCTTAGTGGGAAATAAAATTTAAAGCCTATTTCACAAGTAACAATTTCTTTGGTTCAATGTGACCCACTTATATGAGGGAACAAAATTTGAATGCAGATGTTTTAGAACACTGTACAATTTTTAAGTTTCTTAAATTTAAATCCAGGGCAATGTAAACATAAAAGCCAATCAGAACAAAAAAAAGAATCTCAGGGAGCCAATGAGAACTCAATTAGATGCACCTAACCTGCCTCAAGCGCTGGAAAATGACAAGTTTAGCATCTGATTGGTTCAAAGGCTGACACACATTTTTAGGACCAATCATAGAGCTTAAAAAAGCAAAACCAGTGCAATTTCTTCAAATCACACCACAGCTTGATCAAGCATCTATTTCAAAATGACATTGATGGAGTAATCTATCTAAGTTCTACCAATAATCTCTTCTGAATTTCTTCCCTGACCTCATCCTGAATACTATTAATTTCAATGTCAGTAAAAGTCTTATCCATGGACCTGTAAGTTATCCTATAGCATTGACTCTCTCTCTGAGTCTTGGGATGACAGAATGTGTCCACCAACTCCACCTGAAATAAGGTAAACAGCCTTAGCGATGTTCATTTTCACTATTTCATAAACCTAAGGTACCTATAAAGTCTTGTGTGACTCTGGCTTGACACCTTCCAGTGTGCATCCATAACTGGATGGTTGCATGCTGCTTGCTGAACATTTCTTAACTAGATGAGTAGCATAGCCAAAAAGATTGCAGCATTTGTGATAGATCACCAGTAGATTTAAGTAAACCAAAATCAGTTATTAGACCCTCTCTCTCTCTGCTACGTTTCTACATACACAGCCCTTTCCTCAACTTCCAGTCCCTCACCTTTTCCACTATGTCACCGGCCACCCCACGAACCACATCAAACAGGTTATTTGGAGAGAAGTTTTCAGGAATCCAAAACGCCACATCCTTGTAAGTAGGTGGGTACTTGCTGAACGGCTTGAACTCAACAACTTTGTTTCCCTCAAACTGAGAAAGGAATCTTGGATCATCACTCCAAAACAGCCGAATATCAGGGATGTTAAAAAGCCTCATGGCCAAACGCTCAAGTCCAATACCAAATGCCCAGCCTATCTTGTGTTCAGCTCCACCTGGAAATGAAATGGGAAATCTCAATTATAATGCTATGTTTAAAATCTGATAAAACCATAAACTTTACTTCACTAAAGGTTAAGTCTCTGTTCAAGCCAAGTAGCCCATTCAGCTGCAGATTATCCTGGTTTCCTCAATATGAAGCGACTAGGATTACTACTCCCTGCCTGAATGGGATGCCAGTCCATTGCAAGGTTACCCCCCTACATTTTATCAGATTTTCCTGAAAATTTGCTGGTACCCATTCATATTCCTGGGTAAAGAGAGGCACTGTGGGAGTAAAGTGCTTAGCACAAGAACACAAAACGCTGATCTGATTAGGTCTCAAACCTGGACCTTTTATTCCAGTGTCCAGCTCATCAGCCATTAGGCTACATGTATACCTTCAATAATAAACACAACTAAAATATAAAATCAATGTAAACATAATGCTGATGAAAAAACTAAAGGTAAAGAAGTTTAACTGCTAATCATGACATGAAACTAAAAAAATGAGTTATCTAATATTGAATCTAATATGTCAGTTTTTGTTCAATGATCCAGGGGTTTTCCATATGGTAACCTGGTGTTTCTTCCTCCACAAAAACCATCATTTCAAATACCAGTTCAACTTTGAAAAGGTACAGAAATGAATGAATGCATCATTGCTAGTTTCCAAAACATTTCATTTACATTTATCTTTTTAACTTACCATTTACAAGTATCTCCTGTGCCATCACGCCACACCCAAGCAGCTCCAACCATTCACCTTCAAAATTAACTTCTAATTCCCAGGAAGGATGGGTGAAGGGAAAGTATGCATCAACCCAGCGCATTTCCACTCCCTCTCCACACAGGTGTTCAACAATCTTCACCAGTGTTTGCTTGAGACTGAACTCAACAAGCTTTACTGCCTCCAGTGTGTGTGCAGCTTGTTTCTCAGGGGTTTTGCTTCTGCTTTGATCAAACATTTCCAATGGCTCCTTGCAAAGAAATAATGAAAGTATTTAGGAGTGTGAGGGTTGGAAAAAAGATGCTGAAGGGAAAGTAATCATGATCAAATACTGAATTTGTCATTTCGTCGTATGTACAAGTCACAGTAGATTTAACCTTTTAATCCCCAGAAGTGATTGAAATTTAATTTTTCTGGGCAATTCCAATACTTTGTCTCATAACCTAGCTTTGAAAAATTGATAAGCCATCTAATGAATGTTATCTTGATCTAAGACCAAATTCTTTTCATTCAATTTAAATGAAATGTATGGCTTCTAGTAGGGAGAATTACTAATTGGATCTTGGGAGTTAAGGGTTAAGATAGCTCGTGCTTCAAAATTACAATCAATAGATAAAGGAGGTCAATAATTGTAAAATGTCTTGCAATTTTTGCACAATCAAGACATGTACATATCCGATGTCACCTGAGTGGTTATGCGCATGCAGAAAGGGGTATCTCCCAGTAATAGGCCAATGGAGTGTGCTACTGGATGGGGTAGCATTTTAATGACTGGATTGATAATAAAAGCATTACATTTCCAATAGAGTTACTAGAATGGAGTCGCACATTTTTGGGACTTTGGGATAAGAAAATTCTGGTGAGTAGGGGTTTAAAAATAGGAAGATTTGCAATTAAAAAGTTGTTACTGTAGGGATTTTAAAAATTACATTGGCCCAGAGGTGACTGAGATGGGTCCATAGTTGGCCACAGAATAGACTTCATCATAGAGAAGGCATTGTGCAAGGCCAGCTGACATTCCCAAAAGAAAAAAGAAAAAAGCCCACTCCTTCCCCCTCAAATGGTTTGGAAAAGGAAGAGATATTCACCTCATATTGTGAAAACAGCTCGTGCTGTGAAAACAACCTGACACCTTCCATCTGATGAAACACAGGGTAATGACACATGTCGATTTCATCCCGCCTGTAAACATCACCCGTAACAAGAAAAGCATCCAGTCCAGTTTTAATCAAGTCTCTTTGATGCGCAGAGGTGTGAGCGCGAAGCAAGTGCTCAGCGTTTATGTAGTAGTTATCATTCTTCGTTCGACTAACGTGATCTTTTGGAACAAGCAAACTATCAAAGTTCTGTTCCACCGTGACAACTGGAGACAAATTATCCACCATTGTAAACATGGGGCCGCCCCAGCGAGTTCTGTAGTCCGCATAAACATGTTCCTGGATTCTTTCTCTTAAAATGCTTAGTGGGTGATTTTTACAAAGGTGCAGGTTTCGTCCGACTTTGGACAAAATGCTTGGAGTGATGTTAGTCATGGCGTCTCGAGAGTAAGTGTTATTGAATAATTGGATGTTATCTCCTTCCGTGTCCGCTTTGCTGTGAAGATATGCAGCGAATAACAGTCTTCCACATTGTAATTGCTTGGTAAGAGGGGCTGCAAGAGTTCGTGTCTTCAAAACGAAGGGCATTTTGCAAACGAAAAGACTTTAGAAGGACTTGAAAGCAAAACGTGTTATCCTTACATGACATAGCATCTGCTAATAAGAGTTACTGCTGACTCGTGTACCGGCTGAACTGAGGATTTTTGAATAAAGGGGTAAGTTTCTAAAGAAACTGTGGTGCTGCGTCGGTGGGAGAGTATAGCAGGTAATTTAAAACGTAAATTAGCCACCGTAAAGGGTAAAAAAGCTGACGTTTCGAGCTAACGCTGACGCGAAGGGCTAACGCTCGAAACGGCTGAACTGAGGATTTTTGAAGACTACAAAGCGGACAAAAAAACCTTCCAGTCTCTTCTTCCAATTTCTCTAAATTTACATGACAGAAAAAATCATAGGCCCAGAATTCTCCTATTTCCTACAAGCTGTAAAGCCATGGCGTCAACATGATGCGGTTTAGTCCTTTGAGAGATATCTTAATCTAAAACATTCGGTTTATCTTCTTCTGCGTGAAATGCCCATCGATTTTTAACAATCGTTTGATATGGGCGTGTTTTTCGAATTGACACATTTGCATTTAGATACATTCAAAATGAAACAGTAATCTTTAATCACTGGTATTGTTTATAGAATTATCAAAACACAGAGATACCAACCTCTGCAGATTTCAAATCTGGAGATTTTTTTTCGGACCAGCGCCCCCCCCCCCCCCCCACCAAATTCGCCAATGCGACTCCCCTCCCCCCCCAACATTTCTCTTTCGAAATGGACCCCCTACCTCCAACCGAGCAATTTCGCGGGAAAAACGCCGATCTATCTATCAGGGACTTCTATTTGTTGAATACTCATCCAATCAGATTCTCGCTTATATAGGAGTAACAAAGAAGAAACTCTGTTCTTTTTGTTTGCAACGAACAACATGCATCACGCATGAAAATGAAGCCAGAAACCGTAATACAAGCATAAGAAACCAGATGATTTTGGAATTTTTGGAACATGTGGAACTTAAATCTTATTTTTTTTCTGGGCAACTGATCCAAACTTCCTCTTAGCCGGGATTTTGGTCACCCGTACGGGAGAGCGGGAGATTGGCTCTGTATCCGGGAGACTCCCGGATAATCCGAGAGAGTTGGCATATATGAAAACGAAGTTAGCACCTGCCGTAGAATAATCTACCTGGATTGGACAATCAATAAAAATCAGTGAGATTAAGGAGATGTTTTAACGACAACAGAATCAGTTTGTTTTGAGGGAGAAACGGCGGTTTCAAATATTTTCGTCTAAAAAACCTCGATGGTTGATTCACGGGCCAGCGCTGTGAATGTTTCTCTTTTTTGTTCTGTTTTTATTATCTGGTCTGAACTGATCCTCAAGGCAGAAGGTTGGTGAAAACGTCAGTGCTTCGGCAAAATTTGCCCCTGCACTTCATATACTTTTAATTAACCTGGTTATAATTGACGATCCGCTATATTTTTCAAATGATCCCCGACGCAACACATAAGTTAACGAATTTAAAAAATTAACTGTGTAAAAAAAATGCTATTTTATTCAATCGATGATTCATTTTAGCTGCAGTTTGAAGTCAATCAATAATTCATTTTTCACTTTCCATCAATTAGATCGATAGACCTTCAACTGTGAGCATTACTTTTGGGTTTTAATAAAGTCAGCAGTGATGAAAATTACACGGTAGTTCAAGTCAAAAACTTCTTACCTCCATTTCATTGTTTTACCTTTTTTCCGTTTAATTTAAGAGCATTTTCTCAGGCTTTAACCGTCGAGATACTCTTCTTTCAAACTTTGTTTGAAATCAACGGTTCATTTCTCAAATTCTACGAATGGGATGCCTCTGATTCGATATGGAAGATTTTATAACTTAAAAGAGGGTGAAAATTTAGGCGCTCAGTGTTTACCAAGGTATATGTGAATTTAGCATAAATCTAGTAACGTTCAAGTATAATTGTTGCAATATGATTGGCTACGCTTCACGCTATCTAAGTAAGACGCCGAATTTACTTTACAATTATATTAGATTATTATTTACTACGCGTTATGGACACCCTTTTTTCATTTATTTAATTTCGTTTTGCAATTGCTATCAGTTTCAATTCATTTTATTTCACGTAACTGTAAGAGTCTAGATAGCTTTGATAGGTGAAGAGCCATATCGTGGGCTCCATCGAATAAACCATTATCATTATTATTATTTTTATTATTATTACTATTTTAATAATTATTATTATTATTGTTTTTATTATTATCATTATTATCGTTATTACACGTGATACCTTATTTGGACCTCTCCCTGACCAGTTGTTATGCTCTGAAGTCTCGGTCTCGTAATCTAATTGTTTAGCAGAAGCTTATGTTTTTGTTAGCTCTATGAAGTCTCGGTCTCGTAATCTAATTGTTTAGCAGAAGCTTATGTTTCTGGTAGCTATGGTACTGTGTATTTAAAAAATTATTCGATCAAATATGAAAAGGAGCAAATAAAAACCCAAGGCGACGATGGAAAAAGTACTCGCGCGCGAGAAAAAATGATCGGCATCAACCAATGATTTGAAGACCAAGTAAGGACGAAACCTTGTGTAGAATTTTGCGGATGATCCTAGTTGTTTACTGGGTTAATAACGTTATCGAAGGTTTACTTCAACAGTAATTAAAGTGGAAACAACAATCATTAGAGTTTAATAGACCTCACGTAACATATCAACTTATGACATATACAGAAGAAATGTGCGCAGCAGCTGCCGTCCTAAAAGTTATCTGATTGGTCAGTTGAAATCGGCACGCAAGAGCTTTATCTTACTTCCAATAACAGTTGGTTTTTCATTAACTCAATACTTTTGTGCCCTTGTGGACTTACAAGCCATGTTTTTAGTTTTCATTTGTTCGCTTTTAATTATCTGGCCTAATCTGCTCCTCGAGGCAGCTGCTTCTAAAGGTTAGTGTGCAGAGTCCCTTGAAAAAGGTATCTTTAAGGCAAGCTTGTAAGATAGTAATTGGGAATAACCTGCAGTTACATAAATTTGAAAGAGCCGACTTTATCTCGCTTAACTTTGCCCATTATTCTTGTGTGAAGCTAATTAATATACTTTTAGACTCCTTCAAAAAGTATAATCTACTCGGAACCAATTATTTAAATCATTTCTCTACCTTAAAAGTTTCATCAAAATTGTCTCGATAGTCTTCCCTGCTGTCGAAGACGTCGACACGAAATGACCCTCGAAGATCTTGAGCATACATCCTCTGGAGATCCATGTTATGTAAAATATAAACAGTTTTGAAATAGAATGAGAGAGATGGTAAGTTTTGAGCTCGGTAAAGAAAGAGAGAAAGATGTCTTTTCGTCTTGTCACGAGCGTAGGACAAACAAAAAATTCTGAGTCCCCATGACTGAGGAAGCGAATCTCAAACCTCTGACCTCAATCGAACCTCAGACGTTTTCAGAATAGAATGAATGGTTTCTTTCTCGATGCAGTTTCCGAGTAGGCAATTTTGAATAGGACATACTGCCTAATTTTCATGCTGTAGTTTGAGTTAAACTCTATGCATAGAGAACTTCTGTCTTTAGGCATAAAGAGTTTCACTCTGTCATGGTGACATTTGTGAATTATTCACGAATTTGAACATTAGCCTGTTTTAAATTATTTCGCAACTCAGTTTAAACTATCTAAAATAAAGCTGCGGGCCTTTTTTCCCCCACACGTTTATCTACATTTTCAATCGGTATGATTGGAAAATTGAAGTCTTGCAGTTACTTTATTTTGTCTATACGCAAAGTAGTGAAATTCGAAGACCCCAACCTCAATCATCAATTATACCATCGGCAAACGAGCACTCAGAATTAAAAGCAATATTTTGGGAGCACCTGCATTGTATATTGTATACTTTGCTGAAATAATCATCATCACGTATGCATTCCCTGTGATGTCTCACATTTAAATGATGCTGAAAATCACATAACAAGCGTCCAGGATGATTAAAACTAGTCTCCATGTCTTCATTCTTAAAATGGCGCATCTTAAAAATGATTTGTCGACCCGTTAAAAAATGACAATGCAATTACTACATTAAACGTGACAAAGATCCAAATAATTCTAATTTACTGAAAAGCTAGTTTGTTGACAATTTATCAAAGCATAATAAAATATTAAGATTATAATTTGCATGGTCACAAAAAATAAAGTAAAAGAGCCAGCTTTTGAATCCATAACGACAAAATCCCTACATATATTTCATAGATGGGGAAGTGGAAGCTTGTGAGCTGTCCGTAAGTCTCTTTCAATTGATTTTTTCGAGAAATTAAGTACACGATCCACAAATTAGCGAGTTATACTAAATTGCATCCCTTCTTTATATAAACAGTAGTCACATCCACTCACGGACCATTCATTTATCCAATCATAAATTATTCACAAGCCCAAAGTGAAACAAAAAAGAGCCGTTAATCTATGTTTTCTACGAAAACTTTGCTATGGCAGAAGCAGGAAAAAAATTAGATCTTGATCCTGCACAAAAAGTCATCTTGATACCAGTTTTCTTAAGGTAAAGACTTTTTTTGTAGAAATTTTTTTTCAACGGACCAAATTTGCTTATGTAGAGTTTGCCTGACATATACTACCTTTTGCCTCAACCAGGTGGTCATGATATCTACCGCCCCCCACAAACTGTTCGACAGCATGTGTTTGTGAGAGAAGAATTCCGTTATTTGAACGTCCCCAGAATTGGATCCTACACAGTTGATGATAGCATTGACTGTGCATTTAATTGCCTCAGTCATACGTCATGTTTTTCTGTGAACCTGGCCGCGTCTAGAGGAATGGACGGAAAGTTTTGGTGCGAGCTGCTCTCTTCTGACAAATACAGAAACTCCACTGAACTCCTTGGAAACAAGAGCTCCCATCATTTCGTCATTAAGGTTACATATATTCTTTGGTAGATTGTAAATGTGTACTGTCAAGTACTTAAGAGGCCCAAAGCTTCGCTGTAAGGCCCGAGCCAACGAGGGGGAGGGATTAATTCGAAACCTTACTCTTTACTCTATCACATGACAGGACTGTATATCCTTTGTTTAGCAGTAGGCTCTATTATGAGTGAAATTTTATTTAAAACAGACCCATATGTTATCATTGTTCAACTATTAAATGTTTCTTCTTCTCCTCAGTCTCCCTGTTCTTCCTCGCCATGCAAAAATGAAGGGACCTGTGTACCAAGTTACAAAAATGGCATCTTTGAATGCCTCTGCAAGAAAGGCTTCATTGGAGATTTCTGCGAGAAAGGTTAGACATTATTTGCAATTGCCAGGTTGGATAAGCATTTATTTGCATAAAATTTGGCTCTCTATCCAGGGATTGCCATGCCCCAAGAGCAGTTTGCTTTTAGTACATGAACGACAACATAGCCAACTGAGTGATCATTGCGTCGGTCCTACAATTGACCTCTTTCCCAACTGAAATTTATCAAAGGCTTCCTCTGACGAGCTCGTTTGATGCAGCACCGTACATCCCCTGTAAGGAATGGATATTCACCATCACTTCAGTTAATAATTGTTAATTACTTCAACGGTGTCAGGCGAATAAAAGTTGAAGATTTAAAGAAAACTCCTACCCTTACTGCATGCCGGAGACGTCATTTGTAACACGCAATTCTTTAATTCATACTCAGGCTTCAAGTCCTGTAAAGATGCATGCAATTCATACAAGTAGGTTTGAAACTTGTTTTATATCAATGACGAGGGAAAAACTCGATATTTAATTCAATCTTTAACTCTAGATTGGGATGCAGTCGGTGATAAAGTTAAATTCTTACTTTAGACATTAAAAGGGCGAAGGAATTTAAAAAAGGGGTTATCTGTTGAGTTAACGTCAGAAATCATCTTCTCTTGTGTTTCCAAATTAGTTTCATTCAATAAAAAATATTCAGGGCTTATTCTTGTCATTTATAATGCGTAAAACTTAACATCAAATAAAGAATTATTGGATCGAATAGATTTTGGAGAAATAAAAATCAACGTAATTGTTAAAACTGATCTCGTTCCCCGAGCAGGCCGAACGCCGGCGAGTTGGTTACCTTACACTTTGGCTCGAAAACAACTTCCGTTCTCTGTCAAATGGGAGATTTTGGATGTGGAGATGGTGGATGGACACCAGTTATGAAGATTGATGGCAGTAAAGTAGGTTGTTACCTTTTGTTGTGAAAATGTTCCTTCAAAGGGTCTGCAGACAAATACATCACTCCCTAATTTGAAGTAAAGAATTCAAGTATCTCTAACCACAAATGTCTCACTTCATTTTTCTCGAACAAACGCTTGTACTTTTCTTCATACCCCTAACTTTTAAAGCCTGACTCGGACTTCGTGCCACAGCAAAATATTTTGGTATTCGCGACGAAGAATCATAGCGGAGTATTGATATTGCGCAGATGCGTTGCAGGTCAGGTCAAATATTCTTCTACTTTTCTTTCTTTTCCCCCTAAAAATAAAAAAAGAGGCAGTTTAAACGGGAAATTTTGCCAGGCGCGTAACTTTAATCGATTCTGAATCACAATACACAATGTTCTTGCTTACTACTTTTGATGCTTATCTTTGTATGCGACTAGTTTTTTACTCTTATACAATCATTTCGCAGAACACTTTTCCGTTCAGTGCGGGATACTGGACTGACAAAAGCGAATACAATCCGTCTGGTGCAACGACTGGCTTCGATTCACAAGAGACCAAATTACAAACGTACTGGAATACACCCTTTTCCAAGGTCTGTCTCGGTATGAAGGTTAACGGACAGTTGAGGTTCACCGTTATCAACAGCCAGGCTTCCTCTCTTCACTCTTTGATTGCTGATGGCCAGTATCGGTCCACTTCACTGGGTCGGAACAAGTGGATAGCGCTCACTGATTCAAAGGCTTCTCTTCAACTCAACTGCAACAAGGAAGGATTCAATACCCAGACCATCCATCGCAGAGCAAGAGTCGGAATCCTTGGGAACAACGAAAACGACTGCAATACATGTGACTCTGTAATGGGGTTTGGTATTGACAGCACAGCTTGCGGTGATCTTCATTCCTTCAGAGCCATGTGCTACATCTTGGTTCAGTGATGATTTGCGTTTAAATGAATTTTAAAACAGCTCCAAAATAGATAAGATGAAGTCATCCAAGAACAGTGTGTAAAAATGCAGGACTTAAACATGACGTGTATATGAACGCCTCGAGAACACTGCGATTAAGCACCTATCATCCGAGTCTCGCAAATCAGAATGTATGATGCTCGTAAAAGCTTTGTACAGCTTTTCTTGTGCCATGTGTGTTTGTAAGTGAAAAAACGCAAATAAAAAAAGCAAAATCGAAACGAAAGAAATTAAAAAAAAAAAAAATTTTTCCCAGCTGTTTTAATATAATGTACGAGGAAAGTTTACCATTCACTGTTGACTTTATTCACTGGACCCAGTTTTTGGCTCGCGTCCAAACATATCGATAACGTAGGCTATCGAAAACAAGTGTAGCTGGCGAAAAGTTTAATATATAGAATGGGTTTAACTCTCTAAACCCTAAGAGTGACCAGCATCTAATTTCTCCTTACAGTCATACAGCTGAATCATTCATTAAGATCATAAGAATAAAGCAAATGATCGCCAACCAAAGAAGCTTTGATTGCTAAACAAATTCTCCTTGTCAGTACTAAAGGAAATGTATAGAGAAGGGTATGGAGACTATGGATACTGATGTTAATCGCTGGGTTTGTTTGTAAAATTATCAAATCACAGAGATGTTAACCTCTGGAGATCTCAAATCTGGAGATTTCGGACCAGCGGACCCCCCCCCCCCCCCCGATCGAGTTTGCCAATACGACCCCCTCCCCTCACCGAGTAATTTCGCGGGAAAAACGCAGATCTATCTATCAGTGACTTCAAGTGGCTGACTACTCATCCAATCAGAGTCTCGCTTATATAGGAGTAACAAAGAAGAAACTCTCTTCTATTTGTTTGCAACGAACAACTTGCATCACGCAAGAAAATGAAGCCAGAAACCGTAATACAAGCATGAGAAGCCAGATGATTTTGGAATTTTGGAACATATGGAGCTTAAATCTTTTTTGTGGGCAACTGATCCAAACTTCCTTTTATCTGGTGGTTTTTGGTCACCCGGGAGAGTTGGCATATATAAAAACGTAGTTAGCACCTGCCATAGGATAATCTAGCCGGATTGGTCAGTCAATAAAAATCAACGAGATTAAGGAGATGTTTTAACGACAGCAAAGTCAGTTTGTTTTGAGGGAGAAACGGCGGTTTTAGATATTTTCGCCTAAAAAACCTCGATGGTCGATTCACGGGCCATCGCCGCGAATGTTTCTTTTTTTTATTCTGTTTTATTTATCTGGTCTGAACTGATCCTCAAGGCAGAAGGTTAGTGAAAATGTAGACTACCAAGAAATTTGAAAACGCTGACTTTTCGAGGCTTGGTTCTCGAAGCATAGATGAATGGGTTGGCTCCAAATGTCAGTGTTTCGACAAAATTTGCCGCTACACTTCATATACTTTTAATTAACCTGGTTATAGTTGACGATCCGCTACATTTTTCAAATGATCTCTGACGCAACACATAAGTTAACGAATTTAAAAAATTAACTATGTAAAAAAATGCTTTTTTATTCAATCAATGATTCATTTTAGCTGCAGTTTTAAGTCAATCAATAGATCATTTTTCACCTTTCATCATTTACATCGATAGACCTTCAACTATGAGCGTTACGTTTGGGTTTTAACAAAGCCAGCAGTGATGAAAATTACACGGTAGTTCAAGTCAAAAACTTCATTTTGCCTTCACTACACAACCGAACACACTCAAAGGTTGAGGCATAGGCGCGTTGGTCAGCCAGGCCCAAGATATATTTTAATCGTGACAATGAATTTACAACAAAGTGGATAAGAGATACATCAAGTAACGTCCTACATGCGCCAAAGCCGGACACGTAAACCCCAAAAACCTCTTGTTAGGAAAATAGGGACCGTGTACCCCCGAGGCCCCGACCAACTGCAGTGGCGCCACCTTTGAGGTTTTAAGAGGCTGTCTCTCTTATTTCCACCCGGTCAATTTTGCGTCAAAAATAATTTTTCCTGAAACTCTATCAACAGAAAGACTTTACCTAGGAAAGAACTAAATTAGATTTGGTTTGATTCGAAATAATTTTCTGACTGCATTAGGGGCCATAATTATTTTCCAGTCCGTAGAGACCGTCGCAACGTCTCGAAAATTGAAAAATAGGCATATTTTGTAACATTGTAAAATATTTCATTCGCATAGTTAAGCCACAGAATTTATATCAGATTGCTTAAAAACCTTTCTAGTTTGCCAAGAAAGTTAGAATTTTCCCTCTCAATATATTTGAAAAGGCGAATTTTAGCATATTCTGACCACTAGAAATCGCCATCGGCCGATGACCGTAAATAACCTTGATTTAGACGTTAAGTTTTGAGATTTGGGACCTGGTTGACGATTCTATCCTACACAGCCGTTAAGTTTAGACCTTTATAGGTAAAAATATGCAAAAACCCCTGTACGTTTTCGATTTTTCAAAAGTTATGACCGTTAGAATCAGCACATGTACGAGCATTCGCGATTTTTTCGCCTACACTAAAATCAAACCACTGGAGCAGATTTCATCATAAATACAGCTTACCCGCTTTGCAGCCCGGCTTCGTGGCTCACTTCAGCATTTTTCTAATAACCAAATTGGTGAAATCCGTGATAACTTCAACAAATAGCTAGGTATTGCCTTCGAAAAGTAGGCGGCATCCATCGTGATTCGTGGTATCAAAACAAATGTCGGAATTGGCCACATTTCGCGGTGAATCACCCATTTAACATCGCTGCAGAGCTGAATTTTTTCCAAAATCAGAATATAAACTCTCCATGTCTGGAAGCTGAGGGAGAAATGAAGGTTTTAGGCTTCTGAAGTGAAGAAATAATCGCTTAAATTTAGGTCCAGTTCGATGTCATACTGTTCTCACAAAGGTCCGCACAAAAGAGAAGACCGCTGATAGCTTGTGCCGTACGTTGTACCGTATGGTTTTGTTTTGTATCCCAATGTAATATTTGGAGAGAAAAATTTTTCCAATGTTGAAGTGTTCGAAACCAGTACACGACTCACTTCTCCCGTGGATACTTCGCCCCACTCGTCTCTACGAACAGGATGGGCCGTAAGCAAACCAAGGGGCAGCGTTAGATTTTCAGAGAAGGTAAAAGAATACCTAACTGCACGGTTTACAAGTTGCAGTGGACATGCGAAATGCGAAAAATGAATCAAATGTACGTTTGTTCACTAGAGGACAGTGGCTGACAGAGAGCCAAGTTCAGAGCTTTTTCTCCCGGCTAGCAGCAATGCGGCGAAAAGATCAGGGTGTGATCGGGATATCGCTGGATGAGGAGGAAGATATCCAATGCGTCCAAGAAAATTCCGAGAGACAAGATCTGGTAGACAAAGTTAACAAAGAGATCAAAGTCTCACATCCAATCTGCTACGATACGTAGGACCTGTGTGAACGGTACCACAGTAACACACTTTAGAAATTCAATGTGGCTTTGTTGAGAGCCATCTGTAGTCATTTTGAGATCCCTGTAAAATTGAGTGACAAACTGTCGGACGTGATTAGTGATTAGACAAACTGTCGGACGTGATTAGTGATTTTCAATGTGTTTCTCAGTAGACTTATGTAAACAATGTCTTATGCGGTGGCTGAAAATGTAGAATATGCTCTACAGATACAAACTACCTTTACTTCCGATATCAAGTTCTGACGGCGTTGTTATAGTGTATTATATTATAATATCTAGTAGTCAGTGAAATGTTTTGATGAAATCGATTGAAAATTTACCAAAAGCAACACTTATAACATCTGTTCATACGAAGCATGTGTCAAGTTTTTAACACGTTGGTAGCCGATTTCTCCGGCTATTGACAGGTTGTTGTTCTGTGGATACAATCGACGCGGAACCGAGAGAAGCAAGCTCAGGATATTTGAAATTGATTTATTAATTATATGATATCAAACTCTAGGTAAAAGCATTTATTCTTTTCGTCCAAAATTTTTCTCTCCAAATATTACATTGGGATACAAAACAAAACCATACGGTACAACGTACGGCACAAGCTATCAGCGGTCTTCTCTTTTGTGCGGACCTTTGTGAGAACAGTATGACATCGAACTGGACCTAAATTTAAGCGATTATTTCTTCACTTCAGAAGCCTAAAACCTTCATTTCTCCCTCAGCTTCCAGACATGGAGAGTTTATATTCTGATTTTGGAAAAAATTCAGCTCTGCAGCGATGTTAAATGGGTGATTCACCGCGAAATGTGGCCAATTCCGACATTTGTTTTGATACCACGAATCACGATGGATGCCGCCTACTTTTCGAAGGCAATACCTAGCTATTTGTTGAAGTTATCATGGATTTCACCAATTTGGTTATTAGAAAAATGCTGAAGTGAGCCAGGAAGCCGGGCTGCAAAGCGGGTAAGCTGTATTTATGATGAAATCTGCTCCAGTGGTTCGATTTTAGTGTAGGCGAAAAAATCGCGAATGCTCGTACATGTGCTGATTCAAACGGTCATAACTTTGGAAAAATCGAAAACGTACAGGGGTTTTTGCATATTTTTACCTATAAAGGTCTAAACTTAACGGCTGTGTAGGATAGAATCGTCAACCAGGTCCCAAATCCCAAAACTTAACGTCTAAATCAAGGTTATTTACGGCCATCGGCCGATGGCGATTTCTAGTGGTCAGAATATGCTAAAATTCGCCTTTTCAAATATATTGAGAGGGAAAATTCTAACTTTCTTGGCAAACTAGAAAGGTTTTTAAGCAATCTGATATGAATTCTGTGGCTTAACTATGCAAATAAAATATTTTACAATGTTACAAAATATGCCTATTTTTCAATTTTCGAGACGTTGCGACGGTCCCTACGGACTGGAAAATAATTATGGCCCCTAATGCAGTCAGAAAATTATTTCGAATCAAACCAAATCTAATTTAGTTCTTTCCTAGGTAAAGTCTTTCTGTTGACAGAGTTTCAGGAAAAATTATTTTTGACGCAAAATTGACCGGGTGGAAATAAGAGAGACAGCCTCTTAAGGTTGATCTACAAACAATAAAGAGAATGAAGAAAACAAATCATATCAGGCTAATTACACAATAAAAATAAACTTTATGGGAAAGTGCTAGTGGCAAGGCTGACCGTAGAATGCCACAAGTTTCTCAACGATCTCTTCTTACAAACATACTACCCATGAGCCTTCGCGTACTACGCTCGCACCCAGTTCTCT